CTGTTGCAACTGCGGCAACTGTTGCAACTGCTGCAACTGTTGCTACTGCGGCAACTGCAGCAACTCTTGCAACTGCGGCAACTGTTGTCGACACCGAGATCCGCACTCCCCGCGCCGCGTCGCCCCGTGATGCCGGCTACCACCACCACGACGACCACGACTCGTGCGTAAACAAACAGCAGAAGTTTAATAGCGGGCTCAAGAAACCCGGCATCGTCGGCCGCATTACCAGACACTGTCATAGCCACAGCCACTGGCACCGTCGGTGAGACTTCACACGCGCGAGTGGACATCTCTCTGTGTGTGTGTCGAGCGTACGGCTTCTATAGCGGTGAGCACACAATCTCTCTCTCTCTATATACACTAACACACACGCACACGCGGTCACTCGGTAAGATTTTAACTCATGGAGGTCGTGTCTCTGGGTTAGAGTGAGACTCAGGGTCAGAGAGACTCAGGGAGACCGTGTCTCTGGGTCAGAGTGAGACTCAGAGTGAGACTCAGGGAGACCGGGTCTCTGGGTCAGAGTGAGACTCATGGAGACATGGTCTCTGGGTCAGAGTGAGACTCAGGGAGACCGGGTCTCTGGGTCAGAGTGAGACTCTGGGTCAGAGTGAGACTCATGGAGACCGGGTCTCTGGGTCAGAGTGAGACTCAGGTTGAGACTCAGGGAGACCGGGTCTTTGGGTCAGAGTGAGACTCAGGGTGAGACTCAGGGAGACCGGGTCTCTGGGTCAGAGTGAGACTCAGGGAGACCGTGTCTCTGGGTCAGAGTGAGACTCAGAGTCAGTGAGACTCAGGGTCAGAGTGAGACTCAGGGTCAGAGTGAGACTGCACCAACTGTGTCAACTGTTGCAACGAGAGTAGCAGCTACCTGTTCACCTACCCACTCATTTTCTCAACCAGTCAATATTGAAGAACTTTCTCTAAATGCACCCACTCACCTACCCACCCACCCACTCACCTACCCACCTACCCGCTCACCCACCCGCTCACTCACCTACCCGCCCACTCACCTACCTGCTCACTCACCTACCCGCCCACTCACCTACCCGCTCACTCACCTACCCACCTACTCACCTACCCGCTCACTCATCCACCTACCCACTCACCCACTCAGCTACCCGCTCACTCACCCACCTACCCACCCCACTCACCCACCCACCTACCCACCCACCCACCCGCTCACTCACCCACCTACCCACCCAACCACTCATCTACCCACTCACCTACCTACCCACTCACTCACCCACCTACCCACTCACTCACTCACCCACTCACCTACCCACCCACTCACCTACCCACCCACTCACCTACCCACCCACTCACCTACCCACCCACTCACCTACCCGCTCACTCACCCACCTACCCACCCAACCACCCAGTGACTATCGAGGGACCATCCGTAACCTGGGGGCAGCTCGAGTTGGGACAGAACGGAGAGAGCGGGGGGGGAGGGGGGAGGGGGGGGGTACAGCCAGACCCTGAGAACGACAACCAGGTGCACTCTGGGTGGTGGAGCCCTGGCGCACGGCGCACGGCAAAAGGAATCCGCGAGGGTAAACGGTAATCCGTAATAGTAATCAGTAATCCGTGGGAATAGTAATTCGGTTCGAGTAATCCGTTATCCGAAAGAATCGTCAGCACTCTGGGTAGGTCAGTAAACTGTGACAGTAGTCGGTTTGTCTGTGACGGGGGGCAGTAGTGCGGTGTTCACTCTCGTGAAAGACATTCAGTAGCGGCTTGCTGGCATTTGTGATGAGTCCTGAGTTAAACCTTCAGTGGTGGTGATGGTGGTGGTGATGGTGTTCGTGGTGGTGTTACTCAGGGAGACCGGGTCTCTGGGTCAGAGTGAGACTCAGGGAGACCGGGTCTCTGGGTCAGAGTGAGACTCAGGGAGACCGGGTCTCTGGGTCAGAGTGAGACTCAGGGAGACCGGGTCTCTGGGTCAGAGTGAGACTCAGGGAGACCGGGTCTCTGGGTCAGAGTGAGACTCAGGGAGACCGGGTCTCTGGCTCAGAGAGAGACTCAGGGAGATCGGGTCTCTGGCTCAGAGTGAGACTCAGGGAGACTGTGTCTCTGGCTCAGGGTGAGACTCAGGGAGACCGGGTCTCGGGGTGAGAGTGAGACTCAGTGAGACCGTGTCTCTGGCTCAGGGTGAGACTCAGGGAGACCGGGTCTCGGGGTGAGAGTGAGACTCAGTGAGACCAGGTCTCTGGGTCAGGGTGAGACTCAGGGAGACCGTGTCTGTAACAGACTGTTGAGGTGGTGTTGTTCGTAGCGAGTAGAAGCAGCAGCACCTATGAAGGCCGGCACCACTGTGCCCGCCCATGCCGCCTGTCATCCCCAGTGTGGCGACGTTGACTACCGCTGCTACACCACCACCACCACCACCGCACCAGATACTCATTTTAGGCTGAGTCGACCTGGGGGGGGGGGGGCGAGTGGGGGTCCAGGACCGGTTGTTGGGATGCTGATGACGGTGGCCGGGTTTGTAGAGCGGCATGCGGGCGCGCTAACCGCTGCACCACTGCTCCCCGTGGCGCGCACACACACAGGCTACGCACATAGGTATGTTTAAGATTTCAATATATACACACGCGGACACGGACACACACATATATACACACGGACACACACACAGACACACACATATATACACACACACAGACACACACACACACGGACACACACTTATATACACACACACACGGATATATACACCCACACAGATATATATACAGACACACACACACACACACAAGATATTCGTACTGCGCGTGTTGACACTCGCACGCTTTCCCCTGCAGTGATGGCAACGTGCACGCTGCAGTGACAGTGAATACAAAGCCCTTTGAGGTGTCACGCCCCACCAACCCCAACACACGCACACACACACAGGGTGCAGAGACTCGGGGTCTAGTAGAGACTCAGGGTCTAGTAGAGACTCAGGGTCTAGTAGAGACTCGGGGTGTAGTAGAGACTCAGGGTGTAGTAGAGACTCAGGGTCTAGTAGAGACTCGGGGTGTAGTAGAGACTCAGGGTGTAGAGACTCGGGGTGTAGTAGAGACTCGGGGTGAAGAGACTCGGGGTGAAGAGACTCAGGGTGTAGTAGAGACTCAGGGTGTAGTAGAGACTCAAGGTCTAGTAGAGACTCGGGGTGTAGTAGAGACTCAGGGTGTAGAGACTCAGGGAGTAGAGACTCGGGGTGTAGAGACTCAGGGTGTAGAGACTGAGGGTGTAGTAGAGACTCAGGGTGTAGTAGAGACTCAGGGTCTAGTAGAGACTCAGGGTGTAGAGACTCAGAGTCTAGTAGAGACTCAGGGTGTAGTAGAGACTCAGGGTCTAGTAGAGACTCAGGGTCTAGTAGCGACTCGGGGTCTAGTAGAGACTCAGGGTGTACTAGAGACTCAGGGTCTAGTAGAGACTCAGGGTCTGGTAGAGACGCAGGGTGTGGTAGAGACTCAGGGTCTAGTAGAGACTCAGGGTCTAGTAGAGACTCGGGGTCTAGTAGAGACTCGGGGTCTAGTAGAGACTCGGGGTCTAGTAGCGACTCAGGGTCTAGTAGAGACTCAGGGTGTAGAGACTCGGGGTCTAGTAGAGACTCAGGGTCTAGTAGAGACTCAGAGTCTAGTAGAGACTCAGGGTCTAGTAGAGACTCAGGGTCTAGTAGAGACTCAGGGTCTAGTAGAGACGCAGGGTCTAGTAGAGACGCAGGGTCTAGTAGAGACTCAGGGTGTAGAGACTCAGGGTGTAGAGACTCAGGGTGCAGAGACTGAGGGTCTAGTAGAGACTCGGGGTCTAGTAGAGACTCGGGGTCTAGTAGAGACTCAGGGTCTAGTAGAGACTCAGGGTCTAGTAGAGAACAGGGTGCAGAGACTGAGGGTCTAGTAGAGACTCGGGGTCTAGTAGAGACTCAGGGTCTAGTAGAGACTCGGGGTCTAGTAGAAACTCAGGGTCTGTTAGAGACTCAGGGTCTAGTAGAGACTCAAGGTCTAGTAGAAACTCAGGGTCTAGTAGAGACTCAGGGTCTAGTAGAGACTCAAGGTCTAGTAGAAACTCGGGGTGTGTAGAGACTCGGGGTGTTTAGGGACTCAGGGAGACTGGGAGTGGAGACTCTGACCCTGAGTGACGCTCTCCCCGAGTCCCGGTCAGGACTCACTCCTCCCCGCTCCCCCCCCCCCTCTCTCTCGCTCCCCCCCCCCCTCTCTCTCACAACAAGAGGCCGTGAGCCCAGGGGTGGCTCCGCGTGACGGCCACGGGGGTGGACTAGAGGATGGAGGAGGTGGAGTAGAGGGTGGAGTAGGTGGAGGTGGAGTAGCGGGTGGAGTTAAGGATGAGAAGGTACAGTGTGATCTGTCCAGTGAAGCAAGTTAAACCAATGCCCTAGAAACGTCGTCATCGTCGTCGTCGTCATCGTCGCTCGCGATTGGACGACCACCGCCACCGCCCCACTCCTCGCGACCCCGCGACCCCACAGCTGCCCGCCCCCCTCCCCCATCCCTCCGGGTCGTCAGATCGGCCGCGAGAGAGGTAGGTGGCACGGAACGACGGACCTCCACCGCAGAGGCCAGAGAATCGAGTACCATGGAGGGTCAGTGTCGTCGTCGTTGCCGTGGGGACGCGCGAGCCGGTCACAGAGTCGCCCGGCAATCCGCCACCGGTTGGAACCGGCTGGGAAAACTCCCACAATGCCGTTGGCGCCGGGATTTTTTGTTGGGGAGGTGACATCCTCCTCCTCCTCAATCTCCTCCTCCTCATTCTCCTCCTCATTCTCCTCCTCCTCATGATCATCGTCGTCGCCGCCTTCGTACTCGCAACTCGTCAAGGATGGCCGAGACTTGGGGGGTGGGGGGTAGAATGCCCTGTAATGCCCTGGCAACACGCAGACACACAAAAGACAAAAGATCCCCCGTGTAGGCTTCACGGACTGAAGGGGCAAGTTGCGGTGAGCGAGCAACGATGAGGGACGGCACCGTGGCACACGCCTTTGTCTCCCCCCCACACACACACACTCTCACACACAACACACTCTTACAACACACACTCTCACACACACAACAACAACAACAACCGCCATTCGCCACTAAGTGGCGGTGACGTCACCACGATGCTTGTGCCAGGCCAAGTGCACCTTGAGGCCACGTGAAGTGTCGAAAGCCCGCTGGCAGGAGGTCACGGGGCAGACCCAGGTGCCACTGGTCGACTGACCGAGATGACCGAGATGACTGGCTGATGCACCACCTGTGCCCCCTACTGTGCCAACTTGCTGTGCTTTAGCCACCCGGCGCTCCGCTCGTTGTTGTGAGCGTCGCTCCTCCGCCCTCCGTTGTTGTTGGAGGGCGACTGCCTCCAACTGCCCAGTAGCGTCCTTCACGAGCCTCCTCCACTGAGGCCGATCTTGACACCGCTGGTACCAGTCATCGGCAAGTCCACTCAGCTCCACGTCCTCCTGTACCACATCACTCCATCTCTTCTCCAGCCCGTGCCGCGCCCGTCTAGCCCCCTCGATCCGGCCGAACAAAAGCTGTTTAGGCATGCGGTGGCTGGGCATGCGGGCTACATGACCCAGCCAACGCAGCCTTGCCTGCCGGAGGAGCTCACTGATGGGACTTTGCCCAGATCTTTCAAGGATTTGTGAGCTCCTCACACAATCCAGCCTGGTTAAACCCAGGATGGATCGTAGGCAGGCCAGCCTAAATGTTTCCAACCGGCGAAGATGCTCCACCAGGGGGGTCCACGTCTCGCAAGCGTAGAGAAGGGAGGGAATGACCGTGGCCGAGAAGACCTGAAGCTTCGTGCGGAGCGACAGACCAGGTAGCTTCCACACAGCGTTACGCAACCGATGAAAAGATATTGCCGCTCGACTGATTCGGAGTGAGACCTCTGCTGATAGACTGGAGCCGGTCATAAGCACACTGCCCAGGTATGGGAAACTCTCCACTCTCTCCACAACTGCCCCATCACCAATTGGGAGTTGTGGGGGTGGAGTGTCCGATGGTACAAAATACCCAGGCAGGTGCTTGGTTTTGGTGGGGCTGATGGTAAGGCCCCACCTCTTAGTGGCACGCTCCAGTCTCAGCAGCAGCGCCTCCAACTCCTCTTCTGAATGAGCAGCTATTACCAAATCATCGGCATACATAACGTGGTTGACCAATAGGGAGCCATCCCTTGATCGCACCCGGGCGTCGATCAGCCTCCCATTATATCTGTACCAAACGGAAATTCCCCCGGTACAGCTATTGAAGGCTTCACGAACTACGCGGTCAAAATAGATGTTAAATAATGTGGGAGCCAGAGGACATCCCTGTCGCACCCCAAGGTGTACAGGGAAAGGCTCCGACTCCCGGCCACGTAGTTTTACCCGGGCCCGCTCACCATCATGAAGGTCCTTAATGATCGTGAGCAGAGGGTCAGGGACTCCGAAAGCACGAAGAACAACCCAGAGTCCAGTCCTACTGATGGTATCATAGGCCTTGACCAGGTCAATAAAGCAGAGATGTAGGTCTTTTTGGAATTCCCTACACCTCTGCTGTAGCAGACGGACAGAAAATATGGCATCTGTGCAGGACCGCCCTTTCCTGAAACCGCATTGGGGCTCCGCAAGCCCCTCCTCAGCGTGCCTAGCAAGGCGATGTTGAATAATCCTTGCCAGGACCTTACCCGGCACACTGAGGAGTGAGATGCCCCTGTAGTTGTTACAGTCTGTGCGGTCCCCCTTCTTAAAGAGGGGGACCACCAGGGCATCCTTCCAGTCCTGCGGAACCCGTCCAGTGGTCCAGACTGTTGTTATGATGTCATATAGGGCAGTCTGTGCACAAACGCCACCCTCCCTCAGCATTTCGCTTGGGAGATCATCTCTGCCCGGTGCCTTCCCTGGTCTCAGACTCCGGATCGCCCTCAGTACTTCCTCAACAGCTGGAACCTCAGCCAGCCACTCACAGGGGGTGACCTCTTCCAATATTTGAGGCACCGCAGCCTCAGCAGGGTTATCCCCACTTTGTGCCATGATGTTTTCCTGGCTGAGAGAATTTCCCTCCCCCAGGACCTCACAGAAATGCTCAGCAAATCTGCAAACCTGTTCCTGGGGGTCGGAGATTGGATCACCGTTTTTTCCTCTAATGATGGTAATAGGTGTGGCGCTGCAGGTTACTTTTTTGATGGAGTTAAATAGTGATTTGTGATCACGGGCCACTGAGGCAGACTCCATCTCCTCAGCAACCCGCGACCACCACCCATCCTTACAACGCCTTACGGCTCTCCGAACTTCCGAGCGAAGGCTGCGGTAAACCTCCTCATTCTCTGACGTGGGATGCTGTAGGCGATGAGAGTGGGCCTGTCGCTTTTTCTCAATTAACCTGAACACCTCCTCTGTCAGCCAGGGTTTCTGGGGAGGTCTGGACCGCGTACCCAAAGCAGCCATTGCAGCTGCATGAGTCACAGTCCTAAACCTCGCCCATTTACCCTCGACATCAGGTGGAGTGGGGGACGATGCCAACCCCAGCTGCAAGCGATGATGAAATTCTCGCTTGCAACTTTCATCAGCTAACTGAGACCAGGCCACTTTTGGTTGGAATGGGATCCTGGGTGTACACCCACCACCGGAGTGGAAGAAAGGCAGGCGCATCTTACAGATGACTAGTCGATGGTCAGAGGACAGATCAGCTCCACGGTAGGTCCTGGTGTCAAGGACATGGGTTCGCATCCGCTGGTCCGTCACTATGTAGTCCAGCAGATGTTCTTGCTTGGACCCGGCATGTATCCATGATGTTGTGTGGATGCGCCGATGCCGGAAGAGCGTGTTGGTAATTACAAGCCCATGGGCTGCACAAAAATCTAGCAGCCTCCTACCGTTATTATTGAGCTGATCTGGCCCATGCCTTCCAATCACTCCAGACCAGGTGTCAGCATCATGACCAACTCG